TGTCTGGATTTCTATTCTAAGTGCCAAGTCCTTCTGCTTGTGCCACTATATGGTATCTGGACTGGGTTCCTCCCTTCCCCCATCTCATCGCCGTATCGAGTAGCTGCCACATTTTTCCGACCCTTGGGTCCGCCGCAGCTTTGGCCAAATGGGCCAGAGCACCGAGAGAGAGAGAGAGAGAGAGAGAGAGAGAGAGAGAGAGAGAGAGAGAGAGAGAGAGAGAGAGAGAGAGGGAGAGGGTAAGTGGTAGAGAGAACAAAAGAGAGCACGCTCTCTCTCTCACACACACACACACACACACACACACAAAGACCCTGTTTTTCAAAAAAAAAAAAAAAAAAAAAAATTGCATTTCTGGCTCAACATTCAGTCATTTCATGGTATTATTCATGAGGCCAAAATGGTCAGCAACGCAATTCTCAGCTTGAAAATCAGTCTGAGACTCTGAGACCCCTGCCTGCCTGTAACATCACTGTGAACACTTGTCATTCTTGATTCATGCCCAAGAGGTCCATAATTTACGTCCATGGCATCAATATTGTTGTATTTCTGATATATCAAACAAATTCGAACCATAATTTTCCAGCTTTGCAAGTGGGTGAGAGGATGTTAGCCCGTAGTTTTTAATGTCTCAAGTGGATGAGGAGAAGTTAGTCGAGTAAGGGCGGACTGCGCAGGGGGGTGGTGAAGGGGGGGGAGAAGGAAGAGAGAGAACGAACGGGAGGAAGGCAGCGGAGGGATGACGATAGAAGAGCATAAGCCAAGGGCCCTCTCCCACTACCATTTTGCCTTACAAAAGTGTAGCAGGCAGTGCAAGTCTTATGAAGTATGTACTCAGGACATAGCTCCTGACTCCGGTCTGTTTGGATGTGCATTTTCTGCATCCGTGAACCAATTGGTTTACTGGCATTTTACTGCTGATGCGGCAGGGAATATAAACCGTCGTAACCGTTGTTATTGGTCTTATGCCACAAGATACTCGCACTCGTTCCATTCAGGGATATCTTTACAAACTTCTAAAGGAAAGCAAAACCCAGAAATATCCCCAGAACTCTAAAATGAAACCGCAATGTTGCAGTACAGAGA